ACCGGCGCATCAGAGGAGATATGATTATGGTATACCAAATAATGCAAAGCCCAAGCCATCCGTGTCGCCCGCTTCTGAAATTATCACCCAACGTTCATCTTAGAGGACACCCATTTAAACTAGTGGTTTCAAAATGCCGCTTGGAATGCCAGCGTTAGTCATTCGCAGTCAGAGTGTGTTCGATCTGGAACTGTCTACCATCCTACGTCGTCTGTGCTCCAAGCATTGAGTCTTTCAAACTGAAACTCGATGAAACACTAGCACATCTTACGTTCCAACATAAGTGAAGCTGCGTGAAGCAGTGGAAAACGCACGTATCACGTGACATTTTACAAAAAGAATTGTATGTATCACTGTTTCTTACTCCACCGCACGAACCTATGGGACCAGAAAAGCATGAGCTTGTAAGTTATTCCCATAATAAATCTTTGAATCTTTGCCTCATGGGCTCACTGAAACTTATGATTTCATCTCCTTGAGCCCGTGGTTTCGTACGCTCATTTTCAGTGGCCATTCGATCACTGTGTGAAGTTTCGACTCTATTGCCGGTGTTTTTTCTCTAAAAAGTTGCATCGCTCTCACGTTGCTATTGATTCGGTTGTTTTCTACTTTCCAATCCGTTCACTATTGATAATTGGATATCCGCTACGCACGGTCATCGATAAACCCGACTCCGGTCTCACAGATAGTATTCCTCTCTGATCCTACGGATGTGCACATCTACTGCCCTTTGAGTATTGTGATAATTCCATTTATCGTTGTCGCAAAATAGTTCATTATTTCATCATCTTAATCTCCTATCAACAATTGCATTTGCAGTCATTCAAGAAGATAAACAAGCGGTAAACGGTTCGTGTCGAGAGTCCAATTTCACCCGGTAAGTGCTGTGTTTGTTTATGTGTGTGTGTATGGCTTTATGCTTGCTAAATGTCCGTTACCAGAATATTCTCGTGACTGAGAATAATTCACTTCCCCCTAGAGTTATTTCCTTGCACCTCAACTCTGCACTTTTGTTTCCTTCAAGATACCCAGCTCATACCTCCAGTTTTGCTTGCCCAGGATATCATTTTTTGACCATCAAACTTTTTCAGTTGCTGTAAAAACCACACTTCATCGAGGCGTTCCCCACCCCCTGATCCTTCATGACAAACAAACCCAAACTCTAGCTTTTCCAATTACTTCCTTTTTGGTAGATATCTGAAAGACATTTCTTGCGATTGATTAGTGCGAAAATAGGTGACGTAAGATTTGAATCCACACATGATGGACACTGAAGCTGTTAAAGCGTGCGTTATACACAATGGTAGACATTGTTCATGCATGGGTTTTAGTCTAAGAGAAACCCTTTACCTCTTCGCAATGAAAACAAATAAATGTCCCTCTCATTTCGATTGAAACAGCATAATTTGGGCAATGAATTAGCCGTTTAGTTCACACGATGGACTGCAGTCGTATGGATCGAAAACTCAACCATGTTTAGTTTGCTTGGTTCAATGGAATTGTTTAAGAGAAAGTAGCACATTCAATCATAATGAACTCCGTAAGAATAGATACACAACGGACTATGAGATGGACAGATAATTAACACCATTCAAACAACTTACGGTAATCTGAAAGCTAAGAGCCAAATAAGGGTTATCCGGATCACAGGTAATCAAATCACAAACCAAAAGACAACAACGGTGACAGTGCAAGGATAGTGCTTGTATGAACTGAAATGAACCGTCTTACTTCTGTGTTGCATTCTTGCTCTAATAAACAAGAATCCTTGGGTTTGATTGTATCAACCTGCGACTGCTGCTGTTTTACAGCACAGAGAAGTTCCATATTATCAACACGTTCGGGTAGGTGAATTGTGAGTGACATCTCGTTCAAGATTGAAGTTCAGTCCAGTTCAGAGTTCCTCTCAAGACTTAATTGGATACATCCAGATGAAGGAATAACTCGGCAAGAGAAGAGCTGTATGCTACCGAGCGCGTCCACAGGTTGCGGATGGGGGAACGGCTGCAAACTCGCGGTTAAGCTTGAATAATGATAGCTCAAGGTGAATATTGACAAACTTACACTGCATTAAATTGGTATACGAATCTGCATCCAAAATGAGTAAAATGAGAACTGAGTATATCCAGATGATTTTTCCTAAACGACATGTAGATAAGTTTGAGCAATCAGCCGAAACTGTGAACTGAAATGCATTTCCATGGTGTTTTGCATAAAATATTTTCAAAATCTGAGTTATGGCTTTCGTATTCCTACAAATTTTATCGCGACACTCAATTTCGCGCAAATTCAAACAGTGATAGAAGAGAACCAAAAACGTAGAATTGGGAGATAGAGTCAGGAATGAATGCACTTTAGCCATAGCCATCAGTATACACGTACGATATTGGAAACTGAAATATATATTTCCAAAATTAGAGTGATGTACGAATTTGATCAACACCTGTATATCATCGGTTCGCGACAACTGCCACGAAGCTACCGCACCGCACCTTCTCATTGTGTTCTCCGTCCGGTAAGAAGCAGTTCAGGTCTTCGAAACAAACAACCTAATCATGCGCTATACGTTCTCGAAGCTCACCAAATTCCGTAGACTGCAATGGCATAGCTTGCCGAACAGTGATCTACATTGTTTCTATCATTCTTCAGTCAACTCAGTTATTTGGTTAATCGAACTGAATCGCCAATGCAATTCGAGGATCAAATGATGCAACAAAGTGTCACGTTGTGACCCGAGAACGAACTATTCTAAATCTTTTACACAATGCCCCTAGAAGTTGTGCATAAGTTTTACGACAGAATGGTCATTGTCCTTCTTACCAAACTGGCTTTACCGGGCAAAGTCTTAGGGCATTTATTACTTTTGTCACAGTGAAAACAGTTTAAAAAGTTGGTGAAATAAAAGATAATTTGATGAAATTTCGACTTTTCGTTCTGTTACCGTCTAGGTTATCAATTGCCAGTTAAGTTTCAGTATGCATAACCATTAACCATGCACTTTCGTGCAACGAAGTTGATCCTAGTACACGTGGGTAAAAATAATCCAAAAATCCGTTAGGGGTGTGTGCAATATTCTTATCGCCGGTTGTATGAAGGAACGGGTAAAAGCAGTACTTCGGCACTCTATCAGCACTAAAGACTTTACCTCGATTTCTGATGGAACGTTTGCCAAGCGAACAGGCATAAACGAATAGTCATTCTATTTACCATTGTTCTGTTTTACCGAAAGGTATTTTTTCTGTTCACCACATGTTTGTGGAATCATTGTTTAAGCGCGCACACACCCCACACCGTGCATTGCCTAGTTCTCGTCACAAATTTGATACTTCTATTTCCTCACATTCGTCTGGTCTGTCCACACACTTGTTTGAGACGAGAAAATAACTCCAGGTTTGTTCGGTTTGCTGTCCGTATTCGCTCGCGGGAGTACCACGTCCAAGTTGTTTTTTCATCATACACTGTCTCACGAGAGGGGTTGTGCTCCATGGGGAATTCCCACGTATTATAATGATAAATCAGTGTTTTTACTTCCTGTTTATTGATTAAAAAAATGTGCAATAAACATTCGGAAAGGGGACCTCGGCTATACCACGAATGCCTTGGGAGATACATATTTTGATAAGCTGATCACCGATGATGGGGTTCGAACTCAGGACCCCTACGGGTTACTTTTATCATCATACCGCACGACCACGGCCGTCGTATATTCTGAAAATATGAAAGAAAATTTCAGTTGTTTTAACTTGTTGAAATATCTATCCAACTCTTTGAGTCCCACGGCGTATAATCTGCCTCCGGTTCTTCATCGTCTTCATCTCTGCAATGTCCCATGGTGTTGCAACGCAATTTTTTAAAACTACCGCTCTATATCATTGAGGGTGGTTAGATGGTTCCAAATTACTAGTTCAAATTCCAGAAGATCAATGCAGTATATGTTTGAAAACCCGTGGATGATATTGCTTCATTGCGTAGAAAACGATTCACTGTAAAAAAATGTGTAAATTTCCGTTCTTTCTCTTGATGACCCTTTCACATTCATCGCAGTCTGTTTTTGCTTATCTAGTTTATTTATATTTCTTCGTTGATTTTTTACGATATATTAGTTTAAGACATATAGCACCATCACCAATACCCTGATTACGAAATCTGAAATGGGTTGATAAAAAAAGCAATGTTTTGACGCATCCTTTCTACTCTTAGAGCTTGAATTCGTGTAAGTTAGTCAATCTTGTTTGTTTTTGTTCCTGGTCTTTTGACTGGTTCGGTTCAATTGTTATTGACGGCTTTCGGATTGGGCAGTCCAACAATCTTCTGATCATGATAACCATTCCTTTTTGATTAACATTAACCATCATCATGAAGTGAATCAGTGACACATTGTGTGGTAGCCCAAATGCCACACGGATTTCACTCGAGTGCTCAATCCAAACCGGTCAGATTGCGAATTTGTTACAATTCGATGTCTGGTTGAAAATCGAAATCGGACATTAACCCGATATTGGGCGAAAATCGTTCCATCTTAGGTCAGATCTGCAAACCGTCATTATTGTTTATCCCTATGTTCGTCTTCGTCTGTTGATGTTTCAACGCTCGTGACACAAATCACCCATAGATGAAAATCAAACTGGTTATTGTTTTTACTTCTTGTGCATGTGTTTGAGAAGCAGCTTTCTGAAAGTAACGGTTGCGATGTTTTTCTTGTTGTATTCACGTTATCTCAATCAAACCGGTCTGTAATACAGCTCCGAATCAATTTTAGTTATTTACACTAGCATCCAAATTCACACCGACCAACAACGAAATAGATCTGCTGATATCCTATTGATTTGTCGCTAGTTATAAGTGAACTGTTCCGTTGTTTCTATAGCTCCATAGTTATTGATCCGGATACCTTGAATGTTTAGCCAGCTTCTGGCACAAAAATAGAGTGCTTTCTGTTCTTTTCATTGGTTGGTCATCAGCCTTGTACAAACACGTTCTGCATTCGTTTATTTCGCACGACCTTAAGCACTTCGGTTGATATGCGCAGACAACTCCACTTCTGCGATAGATAAATTATTCTACGTATTAATTAAAAGATCTGAGCTCAAGATCTGTCAGATTTTACGTGTTCCCGAACATCAGTGTGCCTAGTCTTTTTACTATTTTTACAGTGTGGCCATACGATCAGATCCCATTTGTTTCATCGCGACTTACTCTGAAATGAAAGAAGAACTGTCAATTATTCAACCGATCTTTTCATTTTTCACTCACTTTCTCATGTTGGAAGTCTGTGCTTTCCTTTGTTCGCACACCGTTGACTACTCCTCGTTTTGTGCTTATTTGTCTGTGCTACTCGTCCGGAAAAAAATTTTTTCAAGTTTATTCTCTTTGTCCATTTTTACCGATTCTGAGATAATGATTAATCTTGCTATTGCTGCAGACAAACCTACCGATTTTTTTCGATTCTAAGTGTTGATTCCCAATGGCTTTCGCTCCGGCGTCTATCCACACCAGATGCCATTGTAACTAGATCTAGCGTAAACGAGCCGTGCGATCGGCTATGCCGCGTAGGCGCATCGAAGTGAACCGAGTCTGCGGTTCGCCGCCCTCGACGGCTGAATGCATAACGTATTTGTTTATGCGAGTGAGCTGCACCGTGTGTGTGTGTGCAAGCAAGTGAGCGGGGTGCGGTGGGTATAGAAGTGTGGATAATAAACGTCTTGTTTTTTCTCTCTCCTGTTCGAATTACTGACCCAACGCATAATCTGACCCGAACTCGGCACAGATAATGCGGCCAACGTGTCTGTCTGTCTATGTTTGTGTGTTATTTCGGCCCACACGAACTGTTACGTTTCCGGTCAGTCAGTCAGTTGATTAACATTAATCGTCTACCTGTTCGACCCTGGAAGAGGAGGATGTTTCCTGTATTCTGTGTAATTTGCAGTCCCGTTCTTCTGGCCACTGTTACTTGTACGAGTTTGGTTGTTGCTGTCGCTCTCAGTCCCGAATCGGTTCTATGCAAATGAAATCTCTGATTTGTCTGTGAACTTACATACCCTGTGTGTGTGTCCATGCCTGCTGTGTGTGCTGATTTGTTTTTGTGGGCGTGCGCACACACACCATTGAACTCAAACCGCAGTATGTCCAGTTAAGCGCGTTCGGATTCGTTTTGGATGTCAGCCTTTGTTTTAAAATATGTATCAGTCTTCGCGGGCTTGCTCGGACCATTTTTTCATGTTCGTTGATTTGTTTCTGGCGTACCGTTCTATTTACGCTTGTTTCGTTATCCGTCTTCCGCCCCATCCCCTCCTCTTCTTTGACCCATGCCCCTCACATTCCACACCTGCTTGTTCCGTGTCCCGTTGCAGAATGCCGTCGGTGCGACGTCGGTCAAGTATACGCAATCGTGCCAACACCGGTAAGTGTCTGTATTCAACTTCAGATTAGACTCCCCACTTCCTATGCATTTTCCCCACGCTTGGGTCCCAATTTTAAGAGCAACAAAGGCGGGCAGTGTTGGCCAAGTGGTAACGTCACCAAAATCTCGCCACCACCACCTGTCCTTCATCATTGTGTTGTATGACAGCCCTTTGATTGGTCGTTTCGTCCTTCCTGAAAATTGTATCATTATGTATTCAATAAAAGGAAGGGAAAGAAACACGAAGTTCAGATATAGTGGTTCAAATCCTGTGCACCGAGGCTGCTGGTGAAAATGTTTGCATCACACCAGTTACACAGAAATCAAACACACTTTGATATGTTAATGTGTTGCACGCACATGGATGAAATACGACCTATCGCACTCATTCGTTCAGGAAGAATAGCCAAATAGCCAAATACGGTTAATACCGTAGATCGATGTAGATCAATTAATAACACTTCTTTTTCATGGTATTGGCAACAAATTTTTCGAAAGGGTTCAAGGAACAACATTTTACAATTCAACACTAGACCAAATTGATTCGGTCATGTGGGTCGCGTTAGGCTTCCTGGATGGGGGCCTAGGGGCCAGATCAATTGACGACTGGTGACGCTCTTCCTCTATCCGTTATCCTTGCTGTCTTATTGTGTCGCTATCTTCATATTAACATGGCTTCCAATACTCTAAACCACTAACCCTTCATTCAAATCATCAGCCTAGTGACAGCAACCAAAACCACTGCACGACAATGCGAGAATAATAGTAGTACAAAGCAAACTGGTTTAAAGGAAACTAAATTAGCCATTCCTTATTTTGTGAAGTTTCCAGCACGTTCATTGTGATATTGCTGAAATAATTGATCAGAACAGGTGTAAATCAGCTTGATCAACGTTTTCATGGCACTCAATATGTCTATTTGTTTTTCTGTTCTTTATTAGCGTCGATGCCCGCAGCCACTGGAAACAGTTCAAACGGTGATCTAGGTTCGTCGGGAACCACGACCACTACCACTGCAACAGGAGCAACAACATCAACTTGTGGTCATCCGGGCATCAATGATCCGTCAGGCTCGGAGACAGTCAAAACTACAGCCAGTCCAGTTAGTTCCCGTTTCGGACGCGGACCAAACGAGTCGAACTACGAGGGCATCTTGTCTGGGAGTGGTGGAGACGCCACCATCACTCCGAAAGACCATCGGTATCCAGTCAATGTCGCTCCGAAACCCCGCGGCCTATTCCGTGGTCCTCCGAACGCGGCAGACATCCTAAGGTAAGTAACTCAACCTTCCCGGATCTCAGTCAGTAGATCACGGGTGATCTATAATATGTCAAACCCACGTATAGCTCGGACAATATATGTCACTGACGCCTATTCTGCAGCTTACCTAACGGCTCTAAGAATTCGTCCCTAACTTCTTTTTTTCTTATTTATGTACTTCCTTTTATTGAGTATACAAAGAAAGAAGTAAACAATTCTTTGACACATCCTGGTTGTGGTTATTAGGCAGCAAAAACCCGTAACTAGATGTTTCCCATGCAAAAATCAGAGCATAATGATGCTTGACGAATCCACATATCACGAGAACTTTCAAAATACGGGAATTCCTTTGGCAGTCTCTTGGTAGTCCTCGACTTCGACAACATCAGTCCGGAATCAGATCGATCCGTTTCCAACTCATCTCGTACGTATTACGTCGTTCTTCACGACACAACACAGTCAATCTTTATGATGTCTCTTTATCTACATCCGCTCTCTCTTCTAATCGTTTTTGCCCCTCATCTCCGAATAAATACCATTTATGTCAGCAATGTTGCGCTAAATACAGAATTGGATTCCAATCTCATCAGTACATCACCGAATGATATGACGATTAGTTTGACCTGGTTAATCTATTCAGAGTTCGTCGTTGTCATACCCAACTCGGTTCACTGCAACTGGGTTGCTTGTGTTGCTATTATATGAATTATGAGTTCTCTTTCGCCTGTTCGCTGAGCTTAGCAGTTTGTTTGCAAACGTTTCATCACCAGCCGAGGTGAAATCGTTGTGATGTAAACAAGCTCGGCGAACAGGCGAAATGGAATCCAGTTTACCCGAGATACGGGAACCGATTTTCAGTACATTTGGAACCATAAATTCATTTATTGGTTTTGCATGCATTTGCTTTTGTCATCATTTCTACATAGCAGTTGCAGTTTCAAATTGGATTTCGGGGGATTAAGACCTATGGGGCTTCTAAAGACTTCTCAACTAATGCATAGAGTGACTTGTTCTTTTCGTTTGGGTGTGCGTTTTCGGTCCACCATTCACAGCCGGTCGTCAGCCCCATGCCCTCAATGAGACAGACAGAATGTATTCAAGACAGCACCATTTTGGGCTCAAGAAGGGGTTGCTTGGGCCTGAGCGGTAGCTGTTCAATGAGAGGCAGCCCCAGGCTCCTCGCTGTAACGTTCATTTAGTGGCTTTTTTTACTCGAAAACTGCTTCTGTTCTAATGACTTTTCCAGAGAGCGAGAGTGAATCGTTAACGAATGAACCAGCTCGAGAACAATCGTGTATCTTTGTGAGACCGGGTTTTTCCCGGCCTCTACCGAATAACGTTTTAAGAAGGTCGGACCTCCGGTTGCCAGAAGCCATCTT